CTTGAAAAAAGGAGTAACATTAGCTAACTTCCATAAGTGGCTCACATATCCAATCTTTAACCTCCTTCAAAACCCTTGGGGAAATATTTTGAGTTATTACAACCTGTTGTTATGACCCTGTTAGAGTTATTACAACCTGTTGTTATGACCCTGTTAGAGTTATTACAACCTCTTGTTACCAGGCTGTTAAAGATATTACAACCTGTTATAGTTATTACAACCTTTAGTTACCAGGCTGTTAAAGATATTACAACCTGTTGTTACCATCCTGTTAGTCTTATTACAACATCTCATTGCCACCCTGTTAGAGTTATTACAAACTGTTGTTACCACACTGTTAGTTTTATTACAACATGGTTTTACTACTTGTTAGTCTTATTACAACCTGCCATTAACATCCTGTTAGTTATTACAATCTGTTGTTGTCACCCTGTTAGAGTTATTACAAACTATTGTTGTCACCCTGTTATAGTTATTATAAACTGTTGTTACCACACTGTTAAGAGTTACTACAAATAGTTATAACTTGTTTTCAACTTATCACATCTTATTATTACCACATCCCTAGAGTTCTTATAAGCTATCTTTCCCAACACCTTGTTACCACACTGACATAGTTGTTCTAATTGTCAAATTTGTTTTAAATTCGTGGTATCACACTGTTAGAGTTGTTATTAACTCTTGTTACCAGACTATTAGATCTGTTGTAAACTCTTGTTACCAAACTGTTAGAATTGATATAAACTCTTGTTACCACACTATTAGAGTTGTTATTAACTCTTATTACCAGACTGATAAAGTTGTTATTAACTCTTGTTACCAGACTATTAGATCTGTTGTAAACTCTTGTTACCAAACTGTTAGAATTGATATAAACTCTTGTTACCACACTATTAGAGTGTTATTAACTCTTATTACCAGGACTGATAAAGTTGTTATTAACTCTTGTTACCAGACTATTAGATCTGTTGTAAACTCTTGTTACCAAACTGTTAGAATTGATATAAACTCTTGTTACCACACTTTTAGAGTTGTTATTAACTCTTATTACCAGACTGATAAAGTTGTTATTAACTCTTGTTACCAGACTATTAGAGCTGTTGTAAACTATTGTTACCAAACTGTTAGAATTAATATAAACTCTTGTTACCACACTATTAGAGTTGTTACTAACCCTTATTACCAGACTGATAGAGTTGTTTTAAACTCTTATTACCAGACTGATTGAGTTGTTTCAAACTCTTATTACCAGACTGATATAGTTGTTATTAACTCTTGTTACCATACTATTAGAGCTGTTGTAAACTCTTGTTACCAAACTGTTAGAATTGATATAAACTCTTGTTACTAAACTGTTAGAATTGACATAAACTTTTGTTACCACACTGTTACAGTTGTTATTAACTCTTGTTACCAGACTATTAGAGCTGTTATAAACTATTGCTACCAAACACTCAGAATTGATATAAACTATTGTTACTACTGTGTTGGAGTTGTTATAAACTCTTGTTACCAAACTGTTAGAATTGATATAAACACTTGCTAACAGATTGTTAGACTTGCTATAAACTCTTATTACCACACTGTTAGAGTTGTTATTAACTCTTGTTACCACACTGTTAGAGTTGTATTAACTCTTTTTACCAGACTATTAGAGCTGTTATAAACTCTTGTTACGAGATTGTAAGAGTTCTTATTAACTCTTATTACCACACTGTTGGAGTTGTTATTAACTCTTACTAACAAACTGTTAGAGTTGTTGTAAACCCCCTCTAACAGACTGTTAGAGTTATAAACTCTTGCTAACAGACTGTTAGAGATGGGAAAAATTCTTGTTACCAGTGTGTTAGACTTGTTATAAACTCTTATTACCACACTGTTGGAGTTGTTATTAACTCTTTCTAACAAACTGTTAGAGTTGTTGTAAAATCTTGCTAACAGACTGTTAGAGTTGTAATAAACTCTTGCTAACAGACTGTTAGAGTTGTTATAAACTCTTATTACCACACTGTTGGAGTTGTTATTAACACTTACTAACAAACTGTTAGAGTTGTTGTAAACTCTTGCTAACAGACTGTTAGAGTTGTTATAAACTCTTATTACCACACTGTTGGAGTTGTTATTAACACTTACTAACAAACTGTTAGAGCTGTTGTAAACTCTTGCTAACAGACTGTTATAGTTGTTATAAACTCTTCCTAACAGACTGTTAGAGATATGAAAAATTCTTGTTACCAGTCTGTTAGACTTGTTATAAAATCTTATTACCACACTGTTGGAGTTGTTATTAACTCTTGCTGTTAGAGTTGTTATAAACTCTTCCTAACAGTCTGTTAGAGATGTGAAAAATTATTGTTACCAGTCTGTTAGACTTGTTATAAACTCTTATTATAAGAGTGTTATAGTTCTCACATTCTTTAGCAAATATGATAAAGTACTTGTAATTTTAGCCTATTAAGAACCAATATATAATCTTTATAATTTTTAAATGTTCAGAAACCTATGTGCCCCGCTGGAACAGTGGTAAATATAAGGACTTACAATGCTAAATTAAAGGGTTCGATTTCTATCGGCGGACAAAGCAGATAGCCCGATGCGGCTCTGTTATAGGAAAAAACACACACACACACAAGAAACCTACATGGGTCTATATAAATTACTGTTTAAACATTTATTGACTCCTATAATATGCATGTTTTATGATCGTAATTTGTAATTCATTGACAATTTTGAGAAGAAAAAAAAGCTAAACGTTTAGAGGAAATAGAAAATTACTTTACAACATTTGGCTATCTTCAAACATTTAGATTACTCTATAATCCAACGTGAAGCCAATAATTTAAAATAATTTTAATAAGGTTAAATTTCTCGAAAGGGGGGCCGAAGGCCATCTGGATGGGTCACCTGTTTTAACCAATTGCATCACTATAGAGTAGAGTGTTGTCTATCAATTAGTCAGTAAACACCAAAATAACGTAACACAAGGGACGCTTAACGTTGCAACTTGTACTCTCGTGACGTCAGTAAAACACGCGCATGCCATGAATCACGAGGAGAATTATGCACTCTGTATGCTAACAATACAGCTGACATATGAACTTTGTTACTATTAATTTTGTTTTATTTACTACAAGATGAGGAACCCGTCCTTTGTCCGGGTTATGTGGGGGTGGATGCTATAATGAATAACAGGAATATTCACACAATTGATTTATAACATAACATATTATTACGGTATTCATCATTTTCTCACCAAAAGCTTTGTATAAGCTTTAATAACTCAATACATACATACTGGTATACACTGTGCGATGGTCAGAGTGACTTTATATTAAGAGATAGCGACAAAAGTAGTGCTACTTTCTGTTACCTACTTTCAACACCCAACTCTTAATGTTCTTCCACACTGTTTCACGTGGTTAATTAATTGACAGTCATTGGCCGCAGA